CATGGCAGAGTAGGGGCGCCCAGTTTCCAGGCGGTTTCTGGAAGGGATGGGTGTACAGTTTGGCCGCACCTCTTAGCTCTCCTGAGCTGTTTGAGGGGTGGGATGTTGTAAGAATCACCCCAGCAGGACGCTGGACCTGAGGACATTCTGGACTTGCCACTTCTCTCCCCAGCCACATTTGCACCTGTCATCCAATGACTTGTTGCTGCATTTTATCCCCCAGACACCCAAGGGAACACATCTGATGAGGCCCGTGGCCTGGTACAATGTTCACCAGGGACTGTTCTCAAAGGGCTATCAGTTGATGAATAATTCCAACACAAGGTACACTGCAGGGTACACCAAGTGTCCTTTTAAAAACTGATTGTGCTGGTCCTCTGCTGCCAGAACTGTTGTGTCCAGCAACCCTTTCCTGTCCTCTCTCCCCTTGATAGCGTCACCTGACCCCTGAAGGTGTTTCCAGAGCAGCACCGTGAGCCCAAACCCCATATGAACCCCAACCTTCATCTAACCCTACCCCAATCCCAACCCAGCTCTGACCCCAGCCCCAGCCCTGAGATTTCCCACGCTACATGGAGACTGCTTTGCAGTCAGTGCTGAGATTCCCAGTCAGAGTGCTTGGCAGATCTCCCCACAGGGCTAGAGGAAATATAACTTTCCTTTGTTCCCCAACTCTTTGTAATGTCTAACATTGGGCTACAGCAAAAGATTACCTAAAAGAAACCTTGACTTCTTACAGGAGACCTGGAGAATTTGTTCAAAGTTTTAAATATAATGTAATCTGACTACATTTCCTGGAAAAGTCAGAGGGACACAGAAGTTTTCAGTGTTGATCTCTTCAAAGCCCTTTTATGAGAAGGTGTCCTAGCATTTTTGTTGGCAGCAGGGGGCTCATGGAGGATGGGGCAGGTAAAGCCCCCTGAACCCCGGAACCCTGGAGAGAAGTCCTCTCAAGGCAGAAGCAAGACCACAAGACCTGCGGTTGGACTGCCGCTGTATGACTGATACCACCCGCTGAGCAGTCTCAGTGATTGCCTGCGTCTCTTGGTTCTGTGGGTCGGTGCCTGGCCCAGTCGTCATAGCCTGAACTCCCGGAGCATACGCTCACAACCATGGGCAGGATCCAGCCCCCTATGGCTGTCAGATAGTCCCCAAGTGGTCAGTGGCCATGTCCTCGCTGAGGGCCCCTGTGGCCCGGGCACCTCTGCCCACCTACCTGCTCTGCCTACGGCCTCTTTTATGACTCCCTTGATGCAGCAGGGCCCAAGCATCATGGCTTCCCTTGGCTGGGTCTCTGGTTCTGTCCTCAAAGGTGCAGGCACTGCGTCCACAGAGCCACAGCCCTGTCTCCAGCATGCTGGAGTGTACTGACGCACTTGGGCCCCTGGCAGGACCTGTTGGGTCCTGTCTGCTGCACGGTTGTGGAGTCCCTGCAGAGGATCCAGGGCAGTGAGGAGGCCTGTGGGGGGAGGAGGGCTTCCTCATGGACCTCAGACCACCTGGGGCCCTGGATCAGAGCCTGGGTGCTGTGGTTTCCACCCCATTAGCATTGCCTGCTGAGTACGGCTTGGAGCAGCCTAGGGGCACTTAGACAAGCATGGCCTTCAGGCACCCTTTCTTCACTCCTTCCCTCACAAAGTATCCTCTACCACTGGGCAGCCCTGCCCTGCACACTGGCTATGCCACCGCAGCTGAGGGAACAGAGCACCCCATGGAAGCTCCTCCCTATTAATCTGTGCTGAACTTTGAAGTCAAATTTTGTTTCAGCCACAAGAGTAGCATTACTTTATCTATAACCTCCTTTTTTAAAGGAAAATGTACTTTTAGAAAATACATTGAAATTAAAGTTTTGATTCATTGAGAAAAAGGCAATCATTAAATAATACACTAATTGTGTAACAATTGTATCTACATAATTGACAACAAGAACTTTTAATAGGGATCTTTTTTAAAGTAATATACAGAAGCCAAATCAAAACTAAAAGTAAAGATTTATACTCTCTAGCTTTTGATGCAGAGCAGTTTGCTGGCATTTTGAAATTTCATCTGGCCAATTAAATATACAAAGCAAATTAACCAAAACATACATTATGCATGTAGAGAAAATATTAAAGTATATAATAAGGAAGTACGCTCGATAGGAGTCTTTAAAAATTGAAAGCACAAAGTAATTTTGAGGTTCATGACAGCCCTAGGGTTCGAGTGCTCGGCAGTGATAAATTCAGAAGACCGGACAGAGCTGTGCTTGCTGTCAGCATAGGCCGAGAGCCTCTACCTCACCCCTTCAGGGAGTGAGAGTTCACTGGTCCTTAACTCGTTTGCCAGCACAATTTCTGGGGATTGGTTTTTGCCTGAATTTTATGTACAACTCCTCTTAAAGCGTAAGAAGTGGATTAAAACCACAGTGGCTTTTCTGCAGTGCCCAGAATGGCAGGGAAACATGAACATTTCAAAAAAATAACTGTCGAGTCCAGCTGTCCGCTTTCTTCAGGAAGGGTAGATCAGACATAGGAGTCTATCAATGACTTCATTGTTTGAAGGAAAACCCCCATTATCTTCAAAGTTTTGACAATTTTCACTTCTATTCTATTACTACCTCTTTCCTGACACATAATTCAAGCATTTAACTGAGTTTAAATTAGTGGATTGGTTGGCAGCTAAACATGGATTTGTGCAAGAGGTTTGAGTAACTCGAGAGGTGAACATTTTCTTCTTTGATTTTCTCTTTGGAATTCCTTCCTGCTGTCATCCTGTGATGGCACGTAGGTTACTGGCAGTAAGCTCCAGGCACCTCCCTGTGCTCGATCGCTGGCATGATGTGGCTGGCTGCCTGTGTGTGTGACAATGGTCACTGGGCAGAGGCTGCGTCCCTGTTTTAAGTCCTTTTTACTGTGGGGCAGGCTGAGATCCAGACGTGCCTGTTAGAATGAGACAGCGTGGTCCTCCACGCTGCTCTCACCTCTGACCATGCGCACATGTGCTTTGCAGTCTGCAGTTTCTCTTAGGGTCAAAGGCCCTGCTTTGCATGTCCACAGTCATCAGCAGAGCCAGGTAATGCTGAGATCCCACAAGCAGGTCACCACCTCCTATACCACGCTCTGAGTCTTTGGGAAGTGTCTTGGGCATACAGAGGGGCAGAGGAGGCACGGGCTGGGTCCTTGTGGCATCTTCAGATGTCATCACACTGAACAGTCACAGCATGGCACAGCATTGAGAAAATTTGCAGTCAGAGACATGATAAGATACCACCCAGACACACCCAGTGTCTGGTCACAGTTGCACCCAGGGCATGTTTAACACAGTAGGTGTGCAAAACAGCAATCAACCCAGGTCATTACTTTATTGCTTGTTTCTTCAGCTCCCAAACAAACCTCTGGTCATAGGCCGAGAATAATAGAGATACATGTAGGGGAAGTAGTCTTTGGTTCTTTCCACATCCACCAGTTCTGTGCTGGAAGCCTGAACGAGCCTGCCTGTGTCCTGTGCAGCGCAATTCAGGGCCACTTCCTGCACTTCCCACTGACTCCTGTCTCACTGGCACCTCCTGGACCTGTGCCCCACGAGGCCCCACACTCCCATCAGTGACACCCCCATCCCAAGCCATTTCTGAGGCAAGAGATAAAGGCAGAGAAAGCCTCAAACCTCTCTAGTAAAGCTGTTAACACAAGCTTTGATTGTAGTTAGCATAAAAATAACATATGCTTATCATGGGAGAAGCAGGTAAGCAAACCTCCTCCTCCCAAACGCTGCTTTGTCCTATTCCATGTAGAGAAGACGCCCTTCAGCACGGGCCCCACTGTGGCTCCATGTCCTGCCTGACCTTCACCTGTCCAGGCCCTTCACCTGCCCACCTAGGGCTGCTCGGTATGGTGGACACTGGCATGAGTGTGGATGTCCACTCCTGCCGTGGTCCAGCCCTGGCCTCCTCCACAGGAGCCCTGCATCATTTGTCCCCAGTTACTGGGCACTGAGGTTTCATTTTTACTTTTACCTTTTTTTCTATTATAAATAGTTTATTGAACGAACAACCAAGCTGCCACTGTTGGAGGCATTTTTATGTTAAAAGAGCTAAGTTGTTTGAAATGTGGAGAAAGCCAGCTACATAGCAGGACACAGGGACACTGGCGAGGTCTTCCTGTGGTCAGAGGTCATGTGCAGCTTTAGGGAACCGCTGGTGGCACAGAGCCCAGGTCAGCTTCTATGACTGTAACGGTACCTGCGGTGACCCAGAGTGGAAAAAGAGGTCCGTTCTGGTCACAGTGTCAGAGGCCCAGCCTGACTGCTTTGATTTACTCCTCGTTTCATTTTTGTTTTATTGCTAATGGTGCATAATGATCACACTCCTGCTCGTAGTGAGTGGTGCCCACGTATGATGTCTTTGTTCTTCTCTCACCCCCATCCTTAGTCCCTTCCTGTTTGCAAAAGATTGACCTCCATTTCCTGTTATCTAGCTTCAAGTTTGCACTTTGGGTTTCTCAGAAATCGTGATACTTCAGCTCGAGTGTCTGATTGATTGCCCCTAATATGTGGGCTCCCTGCCTTTTCCCAAGGGCCTCAGCTCTATCGTCCTCATAGTAGTGTTGTGCTCCCTCTGTGCAGATACCACACTGTCCGTGCCCCGTTATCTGTGCTGGCACCTTGGTAGCTTCCAAGGTTTGCTGTCACACTGCTATACACATGGATGTTTGGCGAGGCATAGCTGTTCCCCTCAGGGCTAAGCCTCAAGAGGGCATGCGGAAGGGGCCAGGGTCTGCAGCTGCCTCCCAGCACCCTGGGATCCTGCAGGTGCCTTCCACAAAGCCTCAGAGGAGCAAATCCCACAGAGGGAGGACCAGGGCCCCTTGTGGACTGTCAGGATGGCAGGGATACGCATTCCCTGGGCCAAGGTACCCCCCAGCTCCTGACAGGCCTCAGCCATGGGATCCATATTCTCAATGCCGCCTTGGAGCACACCCATGACATTGTCCATGGACTGAAGTGCACTGATTCCTTCTTGCCAGGAATGCCATCTCCAACCGCGCTGAAGAAGTCGGAGAAGTCAGGGTTCAGCAGCCCGTCCCCTTCACAGACCTCCTCATTGGGGACAGCGTTCACACAGCACCACCGACCGGTCATCACGGGCCCCCGAGGTGAGCCACTGAACATGAGCTGGGACCCATGGAACCGAGTGTGGGGGTATTATGCCTGTGGGGCTGCTCTGGGGTCTTGGGCCACAGCGACTTCACTTGTCCTCTTTTCAGGGAACAAAAAGGGGCCACACATGATTGTTGCTCATTGGAATCAGCAGAAAAGAAGGACAAAGCTTGAACTGAACCAAAATCAAATGCACCCTAGAAGTGCATGTGTATGTGCTTGTGTGTGTGTGTGCGTGTGTGTGTGCAGGCAATCACCTGTTTTCAAGTCGGAGTTGTTACTCGTTCTATCCCCCCAACCACAGGAAAGCGGGTTCAGCCTGCAGCCTTGTGCTGGGTGTTGACGAGCAGTCCCCACCCCTCCTCTTGAAGTAGGGGCAGTCGGGCTGGTTTATATTGCTGGTTTTCATTATTTTTGCCTCATGTGCTTTTAAGTTTATTATTAAAATATGTCCACAAGAAATACGATTTGTATTTCACATTAAAGACAAGGCTTAAACCTCAAGAGAATGTCAGCAAGTCACTTAATTTGATCTCACTGCAAGATGAAAATATTTACTAGTTTGTCTACACACTCCTGCAGCAGGAGCAGGAGTAACTGTGACCCCATTCATTTCTCCCCTCCAACCCACCCAGCTAGGTCTTCCAGTCCTGTTAAGGGCCTCTGTCGTTGGCCAGCTGCTGCTTGCACTTCTTGGAGAGTTAAGGTCTCTCATCTGCCCTGACACATCTGGGCCAGCGGAGGTTGCCAGCGTCACCTCCCTGTGAGTCCCACAGATCTGAGCCCCTGTGTGTGTGATCTGCCTGTGTCACAAGAAGCACGGCTCCCAGGAGAAGAGCACCTTGCCACTGCCACTGCGGTGGCCTCTAGGTCAAAGAGTGAAATCTCACTGGCTTGCTTTTTAAATATCAGTGATCAGTAATAACACCTTCCCCAGACACCTTGTGATTTCATACACATTTGGAGCAAGCAGAGAGATACCGTAAGGAAGCGTGTGTCTGTATACAGCCTGGAATGGCTGCATGCGATTGGACCTTTTTAAATGAGGCGGTATTATACCCTCACCCTGCAGCACTCACTGCACCTGTGGCCTGGAGCAGGGACCAGAGTCACGGAGACCTTCACTGGGGAGTCCATCGTGGGAAGATGAGGCGGGGGATATTTCTCATCTCTATGTCAGGTTCACACTTTCTCATGCCAAGTGAGCGTTAAAAGCACAGATTCCTGCAGGAGCTCAGAAAGAGGTGAGGTGCTCCTTCCGGTCACTCATTCCATAGGCTTTGCCAAGTCACCAGGGGACGGTATAGAGAGAGATCAAAGGAGACAGGCCCTCAGAAGGTGACAAGAAACAGGCTTGGTCATTTTATCAGAGAGGAAAGGCTTGGGTAATACTGAAGTCAGCTCTTCCTGGCCGCCTCTGCAGATGAAGCGTGTTCCAGCCACTCTTGCCCTTTGGTCAGCCTGCCGGGTTCCCATGTGGAAGGAGTCTTTCCTCCCATCCTCACCTTCTTGCACAGAAATCAAAATAAAACATTCTTTGGAGACTCCTTGAAGAGCATAAAGCAGAGACATGTGGCACCACTTAGTATGTACTGGAAGTGCTTCTTCGGGGCCTTGGCTTCAGGCTACCCCAAAAGCACTGTGACTTTTGAGCAATACCCCAGCTGTGGGCTTGGGCTGCTCCATGGGCGGGTGGAGTTTGGGGGCTGCTGTGCCCTGCCAGGCAGCTCCACACAAGAGCACTAGTCTCCTGTCTCACAGCACTGCTGGAGGAGCACGCCTGGTATGGAACTGGGGACACCCACACATCACGCTCACCAGATTCAGGAGTGCTTGCTGTGTCACTTGGTCCTGCACTGTACCTGTTGGGCAGCTCAGCTCATCCATGTCCCATTTGGGCTGAGGACTACATGTTTCAGGGAGATTTCAACAAATTAGAGGCAGGGGAGTCCATAACACAGCATCTGTGTGGCCTAAGATGACATGTTCTTGGAGGACAGGTCAGCCTCTGACCACTCACCTCAGAGAGTGACAACAAAATGGAAACCGTATGCTTCAGGAGCCCAGCTTTACAGGGAATGTGCAGAATAACATGAGCCCCTGGCTGGACCCCAAACAGGAACAAGGGTGGGCGGGTGGCACAGGACATATCCACCTTGGTCAGCATGGTATGAGATGTCTGCCTGCACCAATGCTGTGAACAAAGAGGAGCCCCTTAGCTGTTCCCATCCTCCAACAAAACCCAGCCGCTTCACCAAGTAAATGCTGATCCTGTCTTTGCCTGCAAAAATGAGCTTGGTTTGGATGTGTGAAGCTTAGTTTGGAAAAGAAACTTCTTCCTGGATCCAGTGCACGGTAGGGACAGGCCACTCAAGGGGATGGCGTGGTATGACAGTTGCTCAGGCCAGGTAGGCCCTATCACAGGATGCCGCAGCCTGAGTGGCATGCACATAGGAGGAATTCACCCCTACAGTTCCAGCAGCTGGTGACAGACTCTTCCAGATGTGCCCTGGTCCCCAAAAGGGCACCACCCCAGTGGTGTCGCCTTGGGATATAGGATTCAACATATGGGTGTCCAGGGAGGGGCTACACAGTCAGTCTGCACAGCAGCCATGTAACACAGAGGCCCAGACTTGGGTGGATGGGCATTTGAATCCTGTGCCACCACTGGTGTTCAGTATGTGGCCACCTTTGGAAGGGCGGGGACGGAGCTTCCTGGCCTCTGCCTCAGGAGGGTTGTACGTTGGAAGGAGTGACTGACACCATGTTTCTGTAACCATGTGTGCTGTGTCTGGAAATAGCCTGAGCCAGCCGGCTGAGCAAACCAGTAAGCCGTTTCTGTCCTGGCATGGAGATCCCTCACCACCCTGGCCACCTCAGCTGTCTGTGTTTTACCCGTCCATCCCCAGGCCGAGCCCAGGGCCAAGCAGAAGAGCCCTTGCCTAAAATGCTGAGACCAGAAGTGGCTGTAGCTTTGCAATTTTTGCATCTACACAGTATTCTAGGATGTGACCAAATCTAAACACAAAGTTCATTTATGTTTCATGCACTCATCACCTGAAGATCATTTCCTACCATATTTAGTTGCCCTTGTATTTGGACTGCAACCTGTTGCATGGGGCCGATACAGGAATTTTCCCCTTGTGTGATGTCCATGCTCAAAAAATTGAGGTTTCACAGCCTTCTCAGACTTGGAGTTCTGAGACAAGGGACACTCAGCTTTTGACCAGCAGCTCTGCCTGCTGTGTGCACCAGGTCCTGCCCCAGAGCAGGACCTGGCCAGGGTCTTGTTCTCCTCCTGAAGTGCACATCTGTTGGCCACCCCGAACTGAAAGCCAGGAAGCCAAGTGCCACTCACAACTGTGCCTGAGCTCTGCCTCACCCAGTGGGGATTTCAGGGTGGATGAAGAAAAAGTCACTTTGCATGTGAAAGCACACAGAAACTGTCTCTGCTCTGCCCACCACCTGTGCCCCAGCAGTTCCGTGGGCTTCAGAAGAGAGCAGCATGAACGTGTGAACTCTCAGGAAGTCCTCCAGCAGCAGCTGACATGGCAGGGAGCTGGGGCCCTCATCTGCAGGAGTGGTACAGGCTAAGAAGGCTTGGACACTGGAGCTAAGGGTCATCTCCCTACATGCCGTCCTGCCCAATTCCCCATTGACACTGACACAGTGGAGGCACACGGCTGCTTAAATCCAATCCCTGTTCTGCTGGTGGCTTTCTTTGCAGCTTGGAGAAATCATCTCACCCCAGCCTCAGGCTGACCATCTGTGGCATGGGAATGATGCTTTGCCGCCTGTCACTGTGTGGCTGGGATTAAACAAAGGGTTAAACTGTGCTGGAACGTCCTTGAGTGGAGCTGTTAAACATCAGCCAAGGCGTTTGTAGGATTAGACTCTCTACACTACAAGACTTTCAGCATCAAGTAAAATCATAACCATCCGCAAGTGCTTAATCATGCCAGTTTATCTTAGTGATGGTAAACCAGGGAAAGTCTTGTTCTTTTACTTGTGTTTTGGGAGAGTTGTACATTTGCCCAATGACCTAAGGGTCCTTTTTTTGAGAATTATCTGATGTAACCATCAGTGCTGTTTCTTGAAGTTTATTTTTCTTCCTAAAGTTTTTTTTGAAAAACGAGTTAGTGAATGATACTCATTTTATTTAAATAGTTCACAACCAGTCCAGGGGCTCCATGCTGGAGATGCAAAATGGGGAGAGGAGGGCACAGAGACAGGGCAGCTCTGGGGTCTCCTAGTGCAGCGGTCAGCACTGAGCACGCTTATGTTCACCATCACTGTCTAGTCCAGCATATGTGATTCAAGGCTGCTATGGAAGCAGCAGAAGCCAGCGAGTGTGGACACTGACACTGGTTTCATAGGACTTGTCCTCCAAGGCCTGTATACAGTGCTGAGTCCCCTGTGGGAAGGGTTGGGTGGGAAAGGAGATGAGTCCTGGTCCCTCTCATAGAAGGGTCAGATCCTGGGGAGTGTGCTGTTGACCTTGAAGGCCTCTGGCGTCCTTCCCACAGACCTACCTCCTCTGCACATGGCTGGGCAGTGACCCAGCCAAGGGGACACCACTGTGCCTTCTGGACCCTCCAGCACCAGCGTCTGGACCCAGACAGATGTCTCTGTTTTGTAACACACCGGCCTCAGGCTTTTCTCACAGCAGTGCAGCATGGACGGGGACGGCCATGCTGCTGGGGATTGTGTGTCACGATGTGGGCCTCACACTCCACAATGGCAGCAAAGCAAGCGTGACAGGGAGGACACACCCAGTTCATCCCATCACCGGCATAAACCACAGGGCAACCTAGTCAGCACAAAGCCAGCCTGCCCCACCCAGCGGTAAGACAGGAAGACAGTATAGATTTTGTGTTCCAAGCGGAGAGCTTCGAGAACTTGGCACCAGGGCAGACGTGGTCGGTGAGCAGTTCCGTGCAGCCCTCATGTTCTGAGGATGAGGGCTAAGGAAGCCAAAGACAAGAGCAGGAAGCAGGGCTCCAGCTCAGTGCTTTTCTTCTCTTTCTGTGGTTCCTCCCATTTGCCATTCATCGGGAGAAATAAACCACACTTATTCAAGTAATTAGTCTATACACTCTTTATTAGGCAGAGACATAGCTTGTTCATGTTGATCTTCTGATAATCATGGCATAGCTTGCATTATCTCACTGTGCTTTTCACAGCAGCCGTAAACAAATCACTTTGCTTTTTCATGAGCCCATGGTTCCTTCTACCAGCAAATTCGATGCTTCTGTGAGCTGCAGGTCCCGTTGAAAAGCTTTCGAGCTTGACTTTTTCCAATACTGAAATGAAGTGGCAGCTTCCTGTTGCCATCTGGGGTCTAGGGCCCTCCCCGTGTGTGTCAAGAGCTTGCAGCATGCAAGTGCTCTTCCCATGCTAGATAGTGGGGAGAGGAGCGTAGCTACCCTCATGGCCACTCTCCTTTGTCTCCATCTTGTCTGAGGAGAGGACAGGAAGCCAGCAGCTGCGCCCAGGTAAGCAGCTCTAACCTGAATCTGAGACTCTAAGACAGAAACCTCTGAAAGGTGTTGGAGCTCAGGCTCTGACTCTCAGTTAGGGATGGTCAGTACGTAGTCTGTGCAAGTGTTCAAGGATCCAAAATCACAAGCCCTTCTGATTCTAGGTGTTTCAGGGAAACTAACACCCATCAGCTACACTGAAACAATGGTGATCCCACCCAGGATTTACCTCTGGCTTTGAGCTCTTGTGGTCCTGTCTGAAGAGGCAGTGCTGCTGTCTGACCACGAAATGTCATGGGGCCTAAGGTTTATAGTATCTCCTGTTGGGCCAAGAAAAATACTCCTTGGAGAATTATGAGCATTAAGATCCCTTTCCAGGAAATTGAGTCACCAGGAAGGGTCAGGGAATGTGGATTCTTGATATGCAAGAGTAACAAGACACAGGAAGGAGAGGAGAGATAGGACGGTGGCATGGTGACCCCAGGCGGTAGGGACCATGTTATGACCACGGCTTGCCCCAGTCCCTCAGCCTCCCACCACACGGGAGGAAAGCACTTGGTGAACACATATTTGCTGAAGAAATGCGTGGATCTGATGGAAACAGTGGCCTAGGAGTCACCATGAGTCCTTCCCAGCCCCGCCCCCGCACCACAATTAAAAAGACATTAAAGCCTTCTGTGCCTGGATCAGCTGCCCTGGGGAGGAGCCTGGCATGATAAGTGATCGGGGTTGTTTGTGTGGTTTTAATAAGAGTTTCCACCTTGATGGGTATCAAGAGAATGAGCTTGAAATTACTGGGACCCTGCTTTATGGACTGTTGTGGAAGCATCCTGAGGGTTCTGTCCAGAGCAAGAGTCCTGCGGGAGGATTGTGCAGCCCCATGCTGTGGGCTTTGCGGCTTCCTCTTGTCATCTCCGCAGCTCTCTAGCTGCTTAGGAAAGCTTTTAACTGAGTTGTGGAACATGCTGGTGCTCAGCTGGATCTAATTTGTCTCTCCTGGTTTATGCATTTGTATCAAGAAAATGGGAAACATTTAAGTACCTGTTGCTGATGAGGCCCTGGGATAACCTGCCAGCAGCCGGCAAGGTGTCCGCTGTCACTAGAAGACATCACCCCAGGAGACGCTGCCAGTGTGCTCCCTGAGGCATCCCTTGAAGCATGCAGGCCTCAGAGAGGCCTGGAGCAACTGAGAGAAAAGGGCCAGGGACGCGGCCGAACAGTATGGCTCAGGCGGCTTAATGGGCAGCACCAGCCTGGGACTGGAAGGAACTGGACGGTAAAGAGGAAATGCAGCTTTTAGCAAAGGCTCTTTAAGTCCCAGCTCAGGAAATTATTAAATTCATTAGCCAGATACTTAACAGCCAGCTATTACTGCCCAGTCAAAGGAAAGAACAGTACAAGCAAATGTTTTAAAACTACAACTAAACAAAAGTCAGGAAGCGTGTAATTAAAACTGTACCTTTATTGTATTGTAAAGGGCTTCCTTGTGACATGGAAAATATTTTAAGGAAGAGGCCGCCAGGCTTGTTCGTCTGCAGCCTGCCTCAGGGAGCATTGCCCTAAATTGCCTGTGTGGCCTCCCCAAGTGACCAGAAGGGCCTCACAGCCTCGCGGTGCTATGCAGTTGCTCCCTGGTTACCAGATAGACCCCTGACAGGGTGTTCCTGACAGCCATCATCCACAGCCACGCAGATGTGTGACATGCCTGCCAGCTCCATCACCATCCCCACAGCACCCTAGGGAGAGCTCCTGTGTCGTGGAGCCTGGTGAGCGTTTGAGGCTAGGCAGTGGGAGGTGACCCAGCTCTGGGCACCAGTGGGCACAGGCCTGGCCCTGAGGACCTGCACTTGACCCATTCCTACTGAGGACACCTCCTCCCTCAAGGAACCCCGCCTCTGTGTCACTTTCTGGATGCATGGCCATAGACTACACTGTACACATGTGCGTGCACACACACATACCTGCTACTTCAGCTGACACATGGCGTGAGCATCCGGTGCAGTGTCTGTACTTCCATGGTGGACAGTCACAGTGACCTAAAGGATGGCACAGGCCCGTGGAGACTGAGTGTGACTTCAGGAGGTACAAGTCCGTGTGGTGCAAACTGCTGCCCAGTCGCCCCCTGCGGCCACCTGGCTTCAATGTTCACGCAGCTGTAGGATCTGTCCTTTGTGGTTTACATTAAACCAGAAATGACCCCACCTACAGAACATGCAGCACACTCACATCGCTAGGCCCCCCCAAAACATTTGGAAAGGAAATGAGCTATTTGGCCTCTGAGAAATTGTTTAAATGGAGCAGAAGAGTGTGCATGAGACAGCAGGGTCAGCCACTCATGGCTGCCGTGAGTCCTTTGTCCTCTGCCAGCCTCAGTTTCCCCCTGCCTGACACAGAGCATATTCTTGCCCCATAATTGATATACAAGAAATGCCCACTGTGCTCCCTCTCACTCACTCACCTGCCCCAGTGCTTTGGTGTCCCCGTGAGTGGCTCGCTGGCCTCTTCCCTCCCTCTGGCCTTTCCTGACAGAGAAGCACAGTACCTTTCTCCTATCCATGCCTGGCCACCATGGTGACAGCTGCTTCTATTGCTGGAGAATGGCACAGAGCTGAGCTGGGAGTCTGGGGCTTTGGAGAAGACTCAAGAGCAGTGTTCATGACCCTTCCCCCTGCCACGCTCTAGATGGATGTCCTCCCTCCTGCAGAGCAGACATTATCAGTGTGGGGAAGAGCTGGGACAGCCAGTACAGGCCTGGGGAGCATCTGTAGGGAGCCAAAGGTGCCTTCTGTGGACACATTGTGTGCTTCAGAATCAGGACAGAGCTCTACATCCCTGGGCACGGTAACTAGAGTCACAGTGCTGCACCACGGGTAGTGGAAAGGAGATGTATACATGAGGACCCTCAAGTGAGAAGACCAAGCTTGAGCACCCTGAACACCTGGACAAGGTGGACAACAGCAGGCTTGGCAGAGCCTGTCCTCCCTGCACGGGCTTACTCTCTAGGACCCTGGAGAAGGTAGGGTTCTGGCCTCACTCCCCCCAGAGAAGGGCTAGCCCAGCAGAAGTATACTCCAGGGCACTCACAGCTGGCTGGCCATTTGGCTCACTTTTTAAACAGCCCTCATGTTTAAGTGGCCAGGGGGTCTCGCTGGCGCAGTTCGGGTTACCGCTTACCAGGGGCCAGGCTGGGGTTGTGAGGTCCACCCCAGTTCAGTGCTGATGGAGAAAGAGGTCCCTGGGGACTTAAGAGCTCAGTTTCTGAAAAGGCGAGAGATTCCAGGTGGGCAGAATGCACAGCTGCCCGCCGAGTGGTGGCAGACCCACCACTCCAAACCCATGCACTGTTGTCTGTGCTTCTGGCCAGGACTCGTTCCTGCTGCCTGTGTTTTCAGAGTACAGCAAGACCAGGCTTTGGTGGTGACCACTAGTTTAGGCCACCTCCCTGGAGAAGCAAGGAAGCAGTCACCTCTCCACTGCCTGGTGCTGCTACCCTGCCCTGTGTGAGGCTGCTTGCTTTTCTTGTATCTTCATGTATTCTTGGAACAACCAGAAGACACTAAATAACTCAGTGTCCACCATGCTGCTTAGCACACAGAAAGTTCTCAACATGTTTCTGGTAGAAGGAGCCTCTCTGTCCACTAATTCAAACCTCCAGGGTCTCTTACACCAGATCCCTCAGCCTCAATGTCCAGCTAAGGCAGTGCAGGCCCAGAAAGGCTGAGCTGCTCTTCACCATGTGGCCTTGTTTTCACTGCCAGGCTTTTGTCTGCTGTTCTTTGCTCTTTCTTATTAAGACCTGCAATCAGCATAGGTTCAGCCCAGTCCACTGTCTGGCAGGCAGGGCATCCACCAAGCCTGCTTCTGAGGCCCTCTCAAGCGGCACTGTGCCTGGCCTCCTGCAGGGTCACTAAGTGTTCCCTGCCTGTCCCATTAACATCTGAACCTTCAGTCTTGTGATCAGGTTTTCTCTCAAGTAATCGCTTAGGCTTGTCTTTCATCCCATCTACCTGCTCTTCTGACTCAGCATCACCTGAATATTCTTAGAAGCTGTTTCCTTCATGGAATGCAGTCCTGTCCACTGTGCCTGCTAGTGGTGGCACTTGGTTTCTGCATTGATCACAGCTGGTAGGTGGCATTGTACATGACAACTCCACAGTGAATTCATGGATTTGCCCAGTTCAGAGCATGCTGTCTGGACCACAGCTGAGTTCGTGTCTTGTGAACTCTGGACTCTTACACTCCAGCTTGTTAAGAGTGAAAATTCTACAGCCTTCCCAAAGTCAAAACATGTTAAAGCCGAATCAGATATGCCTATAACTTAATACCCTGGGACCATCGTAAGGTGAATTCTTTTACGGGCACCTGTGCCCTGTTTCAGATCTCTTAGATTTTAGTGTTCTTCTGTGGATCCATGGAAATGAGCTATTTGTAAGTGTAACCCCAGAGACTGAATTCCATATGCCCACTAGACCTTAAAACCAAGTGAGCCTCAATGACAGTTTATCCAAACTATTTTGAGACTAGAGAAGCAGAGAATTTGCCTGCATTTATCAGCCAGGTTGTGAGAGAGACTAAATTAAAATGTGGGTTCTTCTGAAAGACACTGGTTTTGGTCTCCCCTAGAAGACCTGGTAATTCAGATGGAATAGAGTCATCCAGCCACCCACCCTGAGCACCTTGTGTGCGAACAGTGACATAAAATCAGTGTTTTGCGAGGCACCACCCAGCATCATCTCAGTTGACGTTTCCAGGTTCTCCCACACATATCTCAGCGATGTTAAAGATAAGAGGTACTCATTTTAGAAAGCTTGCCCAAGTTGAAGCTTTGTTCTTTAAAAAAAAAAAAAAAACCCACCTCCCCAAAGCTTGAAAATTGCCAACTCCTCTGTCCTCAAGTCTCTGTTAAAATAAATCCTGTAACTCCAAACTTCTCAGCTTTCATAAATGGCAGGCTGATTCATGCATGATTTATAAATTATAGCTATGGACCATTAAGATAGACCTGTCAGCTTTAGGTCGGCTATAATGGCTTTCTATCATGTGGTTTTGAATTTCTGAACAAGCGGAGTACACAGTAGTTGACAACCCAAACAATCCGAGTTCCATTTGCCCTTCTAGAAGGCTTCTTTTTTTAAGTGGGTTTTTCTTCTGGCAGTCTCCTGGAGCTGTGCTCACTTGAAGGTCTTCACTCACTAGGAATATGCATATTGGGAATGCTTCCTGCCGCCCTCGGCCAGATGGCAAAGTCTGCAAGAGTGGCTCCTTTTCTAAGTGGTGATAAGAAAACCGACCAGAAGCTCACTGCCACCCAGACTCAGGATGGTGACCACAGGATGTCCTCTCACATGCAGGAAGAAACCCATGTCTGGCACTGTCTTTGTTCACGCCGCACCTGGAGGGGGTCAATTTTACCTCGCCTTGCCTCTTGGCGGCTTCTCTGTGGCACCTCCCATAGAGGAGTCTGGTGCCAGAAAGCAAAGCTAACGTGAAAAGAATCCCAGTCCTCTGTCCAGTCTGTGAGAATCTGCCACGGTTCATGGTCAAGGAATAAAGCAATTAGGCAGTGTCAGGGATGCAGAGAACACATTTCTACCCATGAAATTTTGGTTTGAGGAAAAAATGTAGGAGGGTCCATAGAATTCTTAGAGGCTGAGCTTGAGGAAAACCTCTGGAAATGGTAAGAAGAGGTTGCTTTCTTCTGTTTCTTTCCTAAAACTTCACAAGGTACCACCCATCCAGTCACCTCCCAGGTGCCACCACCTCTTGTGTGGCATCTTCTCACCCCACTGTGTCACATGCACCAGTCCTGAGCAAGCGCTACTAAGACACGTGTGCACATGACAATCAGAGCCTCTGCGGATCCCACACAGCCCTGCAGAGTGCCTGAGCCTTCTGCTCCCACTCCACCTCCCAGGCTGCCTTGGAAAGGAAGAAGAGGCAGTCTGAAGCTTAACGTATATATGTATTCAGTTGTGTTGAATGTTTAGCTTTTTCTCCATTTTAAAGAATTGAGGCATGGGAGAAATTAAGCAAACCAACCTGTGTGACCTGCATTTTTTCCCTGTGTAATTTTACTCTCAGTAATAGGATCACTTGGCAACAAATAACCACGCCCAAACCAACTGAAAGGTTCTGGTTCTCCACTGTCTCGCTGTGGTGGCTCTGTTTGGGAAGTGTAAGCAGCTCCAGCCAGAGAAACTAGTCATGTTTCCTTCTAGCCTATTCTTTTTTGGATGCCTTGTGGAAAGCCCAGGCAGTTGCTCTAAACCAATTTGGCTGCTAATTAAAGGTTAAACTAGTGGTGAGAGCCTCCCGGAGTGCCTGTGTCTGATTCTATGCTCCTGGCCCAGGATCTCAGGGTATTAGACCCCAGAAGCAGCCAATTTCGCAGTCTTTTAATACACAAAATTGTATTACCATCAACATGGGTACAGATGGGTGCACTGCAATAAACTAATCACTTGAGGAAAGCCTTTGTTGACTCTCAAGTAAATAATGCACATTTTAAAGGATGTAAATACGCATTTACACAATATACTATAATTTTTATTGTGTCAACTACTAGAACACATACATCCTTAGGAAGTGTTCTTCTTCGTCTCAAACTGGACGCCTACCATTCTTGGCATCTTCGTTAGCATCATACCATGCACACATCGGCAGCTCCTCTCCTGCAAGGCCTAGTGTGGCCGTCTCAAAGGATGTACCATGAATTCACTGTCTGATCTGACCCGGTGACTCTTTCTAAAATGAAGCCAAGATAAGGAGAGAAAACAAGGAATGCAGAAGAAAGAAGAAAAAGTGAGGCTGACGAATGCTTAGCGCTGAGCCTCTAGAAGAGGAGACGACTTCCTGTGGAGAAGCGGCAGGTGTTTATAAAAGTGAACAAAATCTTCCACGTCGGGAGACTTACTCCTTCCACTAAGGAGGGGAAAGCCCAGGACCTTGGAGATCTGCACCCTGCTTTGCAGTGAGCTGATGACTGAATGGTGTCCCCAGCTCGGCAGAGGTGTGGAGTGTGGCCCTGATGCACGCTTGGCACTCTCCAACTGGAAGCCACAGGCTGGGCAACTTCCTGGCCTAACTGAGGAGTAACTGATCCTAATAAATCAGCCATCACAGAACTAATTCCATGTAGCACCATATAGTCTAGGTTTTGTGTTAACTTCATACAGTAAGGAAAAGGTGAATAAATCATTTTAGTGAAATATAAGGAAACTAAATTTAATTGGCTGACAATTTTCCATACATGTTTAAGTAAATAGGGATAGGTATGGTTCTTAACAATCAGTGGAGAGATGCACATGATTTCCTCTGTCACCATGTTTTAGCCTTACCTGTCCAGCTAGCTGTCGCTGAAGTAGACTCTTCCTTGGGCAGCACTGGCTTTGGCCTCCAGGATTTCTTAATCTGACATTTGCCATTCACTTCCTGCTAGCGCCTGAGGCAGTTCCCTTCTGCCTCTGTATCATCAAAGTCATCCTCTCGGGGTGCTGTGTGTGTGTGAGAGAGTCTGCGTGTGTGTGAGTGTGTGTATGAATGTGTGTGTGAGACCTGTGATGGAATCTTGCTGAGTCAAGTTGCAAAGCTAGGCTCAAGCTTGTGACCCCCACCCCTGTCTGAGCCTCCAGAGAACTGGGTACAGGCGTGCACCCCAGGCCACTTCTCAGGGCCTCTTCACTGTGCCCTACCATCTTTGTGCCTGACACGCCGCAGAGGCTGAGTGTATTGTCCCGCTAAGCTCTGTCCATGGCAGCCTGGTGGAGAAACACCAGCTTCCGCTCTTCCTAGAGTCATGTAGTCAGATGCCGGGCTTGAGGGAAGAGCTTCTTCCTTCCAGTCAGGATGACTTCACTGTGGTCCATGAAGAAATCCTGTGGTTCTTGTAAGCCAGCAGCACAGTTTCCAAGGTGAGAGCTAGCCAGAGCCACTCAGCTTTTGTGTTTGAATCAGACACCATGATGGATTCCAGCAGGAAGTCTGGATTCTACAAGCTGCTTGGCTCTTTTTACCTGGTGAAGAAGTGGAGTTTTTTTTTTAACACCAAGTACATTTATTAGAAAAGAAGAAAGTTATGAAATATCCTCATATTTTTCCTTAAGAAATTAAAAATACAAGATAATAAAACCAAAAATGAATAGAAAAAATAATAAATATCAGAAAACACAATCCCTTATCAAACTGTCAACATCATTTTTCACAAAGATTAACATTTTGATTCTCATGTTTCTGTAGAAATAGAAAAGACTCAAAATAGTTTAAACAGCTTTGATAAAGGGACAGAATTAGAGTTCCAGCCCCCCCAACCCCACGACTTACCACAGAGTTACACCAGTCATGGTAAACAGCATCAATATCAAGACTGACAAACCACCAAGGTGGTATGAAGGTATGAAGCCCCAAGAGTTTTGCTCTTATCAATTATTATTTGCACAGTGAAAGAATATTTGTGAAGTGCTGGACTTGGTGCCGAGGATTCAGCAGGAAGAAAGGAAGAACAGAATAGCTGTGTGCTGAGAAGGGGAGCCTGGAGAAGTTGAGGTTTATGGGAACCATGCTGAGGATCCTGGCCTTAGGTCATGTCCAGGGCCCCTTCTCTGTGTGGTTCGGGCTTCACCATGATGAACTGAACTCCGCGAATGTGAAGTTTCCATCGCCCCATTGGCAAGGCGTGGACTGGACTCAGAGCTGCTCTCCAAACCCCGTTCTCTCTCTAAAAGCTCTGCCCGCTGCTGCAGGCTGTGCCGTCCTAACCGTGCTCCTCCTCCCTTAGCTCCCACAGGACACCATGAGCTGCTGCCAGCCAGGCCACGCCCACAGGGTGCAGCACCCCTTTTTCTCGAAAGCACTGGTGTATTCCTGTGTTCTCTTTGCAGGGACTCCTTCAGTTCACACATTGAAACTGTAGGAAGTGCAGAAAAGATTCATAAGCTCACCCCCTCACTTGGCGCACTCTCCTCTTCGATGACAAGTGACGATGGCTGCGTGGCTTGACTTACCTGGAAGATCTTCACTGCTTGACTGTGCTGTCCCTCCTCCAGCCCCTGCATCAGTTGTCCTTCCAGTTGGAGGGCAGAAGTTCTCAGAAAGACTGCCAAGCATCTCACTTCAGTTTCATACAAATGTGCAAATGTACAAGGCCTAAGTGGAAGGAAGCCATAGGTGTCTGAGTTTTTACCAGTTTTTAGTTTTTATGGGCTGAGGGCCCACATTTTAGCAGGGGTCACCTCTACTTGGCCTGTGGGTTCCCCTGCTCTGAATTTTCTGTATTGGCTTCAAAACAGAAAAAAAAAAAAAGCAGAAATGCTCCATGTAAAGTGAGCCCCCAGATTCAGGTTCATTAAGTGATCATTTACTAAATACTTCAAAAACATTTCATCCTGAGGTAGCCCCTGGAAATTCTCCTGAAAGGCACTCCCGCAGTGAATTACCGTCTGCAGTGTGAAAGGCGAACCATGTGTGCAAACCAGGATTTGTCGTGTGTAATGTCAGTTAAATCAGATCTAATCTACCAGATACATTTTTTTATTGCTGGCCTCATTAAAAAGGCTCTTAAGGTAATGAATAAGCTTCATCTTCACCAAGGATGATTAATGTCCGCATAACTTACATCCACTGGAAGAGGCTGGCCTGAAATTCGACCCTAATCTCACCTCCTTGTTTGTCTTAGAGCCTGCAGGGAGCAAGTTGACCAGACCTGAGTGGGCCGACATCGGCCAGGCCACTCCCTTGGAACAGGCCGCCGAAGCAGGTGCAGTCACAGGGAGGCCACACCCTCCTCTAACCTGCTGTCCTCTCTCCCTACAGCCAGCCCGCATGCAACGCCGTCAACGCTCCACTTTCCAACGTCCCCCATCATCCAGCAGCCTGGGCCTTACTTCTCCCACCCAGCCATCCGCTATCACCCTCAGGAGACGCTGAAAGAGTTCGTCCAACTTGTCTGCCCTGACGCTGGTCAGCAGGCCGGACAGGTGGGGTTCCTCAATGTAAGGAAACCTCTTTTCTTAAATTTCTCTAGAAATGTTAACCAATGTAGAAATAACAGGGAAGGCCTTGTGACTGGAAGGGCATAGTGCTCCGTGCTGTCGTGGGATTGCAGGCCAAGGCACCTTCGTCCTGAACTGTGGGAAAGCTCACTTGCTCCAAGGAGCGATTGGCCAGGGCCTAACAACCGTGTTTGTGTTATGTTTGCAACTTTGAGAGGAGGATGTAAATCACCTCCACGGCGAAGCATGTAACCCTCTAAATTCTGGGGGCTGATGGTTCCACAGCCTACATTCCAACCCCAGGACACACACAGTTAACAAAATAGAAAGACCGAATAATTTGGGGGCTGTGGAGGGAGGTGGGGCAGCAGGGGACAGATGTTTCAGATCAGCCAAGTTGATATTTTTAAAAAATACAGTCTTCTAACACTTCGAATCAAGTTGACCAGTACTTGAACTCAAGATGCTAGAGGCACAGTTTATTATGGTTTGTTATTTCTGTGAATAGTTATCTTTCCCACTTATCTCTGCATAAAGCTGAACCATATTCAATAGTTTTGAATGTTTTTATTTTCTCTCAAATAAACCAAAGAGTCATGATTTGAAATAACATTCCAAATGTGAAAGTAACTTTTAAAAAGCATGAATCCTATTAAAAATACAGAGCTAACTGTTTGCCGTGAATAGCTGTATCCCAAAGCCAGTAACGGCAACAATCAGGAAAGACCAGCGTGAAGCCAGGGTCACTCACCATGCTTTCCTTGCCACACCACGCAGGAGGCACAGGCTGGCGATGTTACTGTCGCCCTGCCCGATTCCTTGGCACGCCAGCTCATCCTGTTTCCAGCCCTGTAGAAATACCTGACTCTGCACATCTGAGCAGGCCAGGCACTTTGACTATGTCTGGCGTTGTGTGAACAGATACATTTCTGTCTGGACAACAGATCGATATGGTGCCTTTCCCCTTTTGTGCTTCTGTGTTCATTCGCCAGCTTCTCCTAAGCATTCACTTAGGGCCTCCCAGTGCACTCAGAAGCCACGGGCAGGCAAGCACACTGGCAGGAAAGCACCCACCCTGACGGTCAAATGAGACGGCCTTGAGGAGCAGTGCTGTGGTCTCAGTGACCGAGTCGGGGATAGCAGTCCCTGCAGGACTGTTAAGCTCCTTGGAGGAGCCTGGGCAGCAAGTTCCAGACCAGCTGGGCTTCAATTCAGGGCTGCAGCCTATATCTGAGCTGTTCCTGTTGGTTTAATAGCATCACTGATGAAATCTGGAAATTTTGTCCAAAAAGCCATTCAGGAAACAGTGAAAACACTATTTGGTCACCAGCACCAGGCTTCTGACTTCTGAATTTCTAACCTGTTTTTTAAGTCTTGACATTGTCTAATGTGACCGTCAGATGCCCCGGTTTGTCTGGACCTGAAGTTGGTAGGGCTGTGACAGGTGTTTTCATGGGGCTGTCCTAAAAGCCTTGAGAATGGCAGACTTTACTGATCTCTTCATAAGGAAATGTTCTTTTCTTCAAGAGCTGTTAGTTCATTAATGCCAAGCAGTCAACCAAATATGACTCCCTTGACGTATATTTGTATAATGTAAATCAAAATTAGAAGTGGTGTTTTTGCCTAGCAGAATTCTCTGCCTGATGTTATACAATATATGAAAGAAAAATTTTATGTTCACTTAACACATTTATTAAATGTTATATAAGATCAACTTTGAAAGGTTAAGATAAGTCCCAAATGCATACTTAAAAAACCATTTTATTTATGCAAAGAGATGCTGAAGCCTGCGACTATAGTCCATGAGCCGCTCAGCTATCTGATGAAGGTTGAGTCACTGTGAGAACCGTGCTAACGGTGGAACTTAATGTGGAACAGCAGTGTTCCAAGCAGCAGTCAGTACCTGGTGACAGACCCAGGGCCTTTGTCACTGGCAGTCACGTTTGGACCCAGAAGTGAGCAGTGGAGGTGGCACAGGCAGGGTGTTCAGCACTCGGGGAGCATGTATCCTGTCCTACGGTGGTTGTGATCTGTGTTCAGGGGTCTTTGGGTTTTGGAAGCCACTGATGCTATCTGACGTGTGTCTCTTCTCTTTCCTGTGTGTGCTTCCTCCCCACCTCACAGCCCAATGGGAGCAGCCAAGGCAAGGTGCACAACCCATTCCTTCCCACCCCGATGCTGCCGCCGCCGCCGCCACCACCAATGGCCAGGCCTGTGCCTCTGCCAGTGCCAGACACGAAGCCTCCGGCCACGTCCACAGAAGGGGGCGCAGCCTCCCCCACCTCCCCAAGTGAGTGCAGCCCAACCAGGCACCAGTCACTTCCTGAACACAGGGCACTTGAGTCACACCCTCAGGGCCCACCCGTAACACCAGTGTGCCGTGACTTGAGTGTCCAGGTGCAGAAGCAGGGTGAGGGCAGGCCCCGGGCTACCGGATTCCATGCCTGATCTGAACGGCCCCGAGTCCACCCCAGCGGCTGAGCTGCATCTGCTTGCAGAACAAGCTCTGATGAGCAGACATTCCCGACTCTTCCGTACAGCCCTGCCTTCCAGGAACATCATGTCCAGAAAGAATGCACTTAAGAGGCTTAAACATTGTGCATCAAATGACAAAGAGCTCTTAGGTCAGAGTGTCAGCTTTGCTGGACCGCCAGCAAAGGTGCCCAGCTGAAGACCATAGCCAGCACAGGGCAGGTGCATGGCCAGGCACAGCTAGGGGTAAGCAGGGCATAGGATGGGTGGGAAATTGAGAGCTCTAGCTCTTCCCTGACCATCAGGGAACAACTGATCGGAAAGCACGGGGCTTCAGAACCTTTCTGTGACAGGTGATTACCTGGTGAGCTGGGGAGCTTTCTTTCCAGATATATCCTCGTATTTTAGAGATGGCACAGGCTAAAAATATCTTCAACACACAGTCACAGCTGTGATCAGTGATTAGTGCCTGAAACAGTGACCAAAAGCCTGTGGCGGCCTGGAAGGCACTGATCCCTGTGCTCCAGAGAGGGCTGAGGGAAGGGAAAACAGAGCCAATGGCAGTGACCCCAGCATGCCTCTGCAGGTCTTCAGAAAGAGGGCCGGGCCGGGAAGGCTGAAGAGAAGGAGGGGGAGGAGGAGAAGGAGAAGAAGGAGGGGCCAGAGGACTTGGGCAGAAGTGCAGGGTGGCAGCGTGGCAGTGGACCCAGCTGTCCTGTAGGAAGGGCTGTTAGCTTCTGGGAGTTGTTGTCACGGTATCTGATGAGCAAGGAGAGCATCCAGCATAGGCAAGGGCCTCTGCTCAGGTCCTGGTCCCTGGAGTTAGCTTTGGAGACAGAGTCCTTTGTGGCCATCTCCCGGAGAGTAGCCTGGGTTATCAGCACTCAGGCAGCTGGGTGCTGCATGATCAGTGCTGTGCGTGACCTCTGTGCCCAGCGGGCAGCTTGAGAGACCTGCTTCTCTAGGTGAGAGGCTATGCAGGACCGCACTCGTGAGCAGAGGCAAAGCCCTGTGTCCCAAGATAGGAGAGGCTGGGCATGACCCATGGCACTGAAGCTCCACAGAGGCAGGGCTCACAAGGCATCACAGCAGTGTTTGCGTGAGTCAGAGAACAAGGTGTGACTGGGACCATGATGAATGCAGACATTGTAAAAGTGTACTGCGGGAGAGACGCGTCTCTGCGAACCCCTCACGAGCCACCCCGACTTGCCACACACCCGTCCCATCCCAGCCACTTCCTGAGGCAGCTCTGGAGTGCTGTCTCCGCAGGGTCTCCAGTTGCACTGTCCTGGCTGCCTCAGTGTCCCTAAGGAATTCAAAGTTTTTCCCCTGTCCTGGTCATTTTGACTTTGGTAAGGAGCCAGAAGTCACACAGTGCCAGATCCTGTGACTAAGGCGGACGAGGACACAGTGTCATGTTTTTGCCTTCCTGCCTTTCTGTTCATCTCCCCTGGTAAAGATGCTCAGGGGCGGGGACTCCAGGGCTGCTCAGAAAGTGGCCAGGATGATGGGTGGGTATATGCCGCATGACAGGGAAGATTTCGAGGCAGATGCAAGGCATGTAGTGTTGACCATGATACAATTTTAAAATGTAAACATTCACTGTATATTTTGATCCGCTTCTAAATGTTCCCAAGCTCTGCATCTCTCCCTGGGCACCTCAGCTGGATTGGAGCTCCATTCTTTGCTTCCCCTGGTACCTCATTCCCATCCTCTTGTGTGTGACCAACTCTGCCACTGTCCTGCACAGACCTGCTAGTAGACACTACTTGTTCCAAGCAGACTGCTCACTACCGTGCCCGAGCCCCTGCTTCA